TATTGGGCTAACTGCGTTTGACGTTTCGTCATTGGTTGTAATATCGCTCAAGCGTAAAAGTTATCGCTTGAGCGAATAATCCTTCAAACAATGGGGACTCTCGGGTTCTGTCTCGCTCAAGCGATGCTTTACTCGCTTGAGCTAAAAGTGATTCTAATATGTGGTGAACCAACTTAAATTATTGGGCTAACTGCGTTTGACGTTTCGTCATTGGGTGTAATCTCGCTCAAGCGACAAAGTCATTGGCTGTAATCTCGCTCAAGCGACAAGTGTTTCTAATATGTGGTGATCCATGTTATATTGTTTGGCTAACTGCGTTTAACGTTTCGTTTTGGCTAGCTGTGTTGGACGCTTTCTTTACAACTATTAAGCATGAATCTTGTCACTTGTACAATTTCTTTACAACGTAAACCTATACATCTTTCCTACAATAAATCTTGTCACTTGTACAATTTCTATATGCTAGTTTATATTGTTCTCTTCCCTTGTTCTTTTAATCTGAATTTCTTCTTTTATATTACATATCAACATCTTGCCATCAGAAATTCAAATAGAAATTAATGACCATTGTGTGGGTGATGGCCATGCTCCATATATCATCCAAGCATGTGGTATGAGGATAGTTCTACCCTTATCAGCCAATCCAACATGCCCTTTAACAGTTAATACTATAGAGGAGCATCCTCATTTCATATGTTTGTAACATATAAATCGGTAGTAATTACATGTACTTTGTAGACAATATTTATAATGTCATAATATTTAACATTTAAATGATCCATAACCAACTTAACAGTTATATTACATATGATTAAACTGTACAACATTCATCAATGAAGATGAACAAAGAATCAAATACAATATCTAAATTTCTACTCCTACATGAGGATGTTAACTCCTGATTCAGTAACCATGACTTGTCGATGGAGATTTTGAGGATGAAGTACCCATCTGCATACATATTCTTCTCGAAATTTCTGAACTTGCTCCTGTACAATATGAAGAATGTCATAATAAATTGTATTCATAGTAATAAAAAACAAAACAATAATACAATGACTTTAATGTTTACCGATGTGTAATGAGGCATGCTTCTCCCATTCACTTTGCTCACACCATCCCACCACTCCATATATTTTAAAACAAACAATCCACAATCATATCTGCACAATTGAATGTAGTTATTACACACGTTACATACAACATTTTGCAAACAAAATTTCAACTATAATAACATACTAACATGTTTGGTTGAATTGGCAAGTCCTCCTTTGTAACCTTAAGTTCACCAGTGGTCCTCGATGACTTTATTTCCAACAACGACAATAGATGTTCAAAACATTGCAACTGTTCACAATATTACATTATTCACCAAATAAACATAGCTCTGAATTAACAATATTACCTACGTAAACAACTTAAAACAAATATTTACCATAGCTCTATCAATTGGTTTTCGTGATCTATTATCATGGCCCAACGAATCTAATATAAACAGTTCTCTATCCTTACATTTCAGCACATAACACCACCAATGACCATTGTGTACAGTGGGAGCAAAAATCTGAAATAGAAAAAACTCTGGTTAATTGAATTTTATCTTGACAAATATATAAATTTAAGGCAAAGTATAAATACTCACAAATTCACAACTTAATAACTGCTGCAATGGAATAATTGTATTTGGATAGAAAAGTGAGAAGTCTTTCATTGTCCACGTCGATGTGTTCCCTTTGCGAATATACATTTGTTCAATCACTTGTGTCTATCAAAAGGCACAAAAATAAATGACAATCAATGATAATAAACCTATGTGTAACTTAACTTTTTAAATGCACAATAAACATACCGCAAACAAAGGATTGAGACAAAAACGTTGAATGCTGCCACCAGTGACATTCATTTGGTCATACATCATTAGACTACTTGCAAACAAGCATCACCTAACAACCCATATGATATTAATAAATATAATTTTTAAAAATATATTGAATCACACTTTTTCATTAAATAAACAAACTTACCATATTGTCAATATGACCCCTTGGCTTTAATGTGTGCAAGTTCTGCATAGTCAATATCTGCCCATGCACTTCCACTACAACACTGAAATACAATAATGGATTACATTGCATTTTATACTAATTAAATTGAATGAATGTAATAAATTTGATTTTATACTAACCGGTTTGGATTATCAAGGTTGGTGGTGCAAAACTTATAAAATTGATACATGTCATCATCCTCACCAATCCCCTTCACCTTTATCGATGACTTATTCATGTGAATCCCGATTTGTTCTTTCAAAATTTTAACTTCACGTTCAAGCTGAATGATCCTTTTTTGATTTTCTTCTGTTTTAGATCTCCATATGCGCTGGTCCGATAAAAGTTGTTGCAAGTCACATGACGCACCACTGGAGGAAGGTATGTCCGTATTCTCAATTTGTGAATGCGTCAAAGCTTCTTGCACAACTTTCATTGTCTGATCATCCACAGACAGTGCCCAATCCCATACAATCTAACATATAAAGGAAAACTTTATATGTTAGGAACATAATATAATAAGTCCACATTTTTAAGGAAAATTTATATATGTTGTACACAAAATTTCTTACATTGTTTGAGATGAATACACGTTCTATTTTGGACCTTCGAATGTTCACTTTAGGCCATTCAACAAAACGCGGAATACAAATCTTTCGTGGTGGATCAGTAGGCAAAGACAGGTGCTCCACTGCCTAGATCTATTACATAATAAAATGTCATCAGTCACAATAATTTCATATCAACTAATAAATCAATCATTGGTAAGAAAGTTACCTGTAAGACAGCCACACAACCAGCAACGTACAATTGAGAAGCATTTTTTTCCTCGTTTAACTTTCTACTAGCACGATGCAAACTATTAACTAATAAACCGTGCACAACATTTCCCCAATTATAATTATCTAATGCCTCTAAATCATCTAATAAACTAAAAGGAACACTATGAACAGTGCGGGATGTGCGAGGAAAGTAAAAACCGCCCACCCAAGTAGGATATAAAGCCTACAAAAGTCAACTACATATTTAACATGCTTAATTTTTTTCCCTTTCAGCTTCCTAACTATATTTGTTACCTGTTATTGGTTCCTCTTCGTCGAATAAATCTTTTACTAAACATGAACCACTATCTTCTAAAACAACTACCTCCCCCCTTATACGTAAACCTAACGAAAAACAAACATCTAAAGGGGTGAATGGGACAAGATATTGTTTTATTCTAAAACAATGATCACTAACTGACCATCGACTAACTAGTTCTCTTATAATATTGCTTGATATTTGCAATGACTCTTTTATTTGAAGAAGCCATTTAAACGGAGTTTGTTCAATAGTTGCTCGTTGGTGTTTGGTCAACTTTGAATTTATATCAGCTATATACTCTGTCTCAATCTTGTGTCTTAATCTTATCTGCAAATATAACATGTATAACATATATAACATACATAACATATAACAAATTGAATATTTAGTAAATCACTTTTCATAAAAAAACTATAATTAACATGCACATACCTTTTTCTCGTCAAGACGGTCTCTTTTTGCAGACATTTTTTCCCAAACTAATCCTGTTACAAATTATTAAAATTGTAACTTACAATCACAAAATAGTACAAACAAAAAAATTAAGTCCAACCATGTTACACATACTTTTGGTCAAATTGTGAATTATGCAAACGTCGGTGTAAATCTTGTGCATATTATACAAAATGTTTGTCATGCAAATACAATTCTTCATTGTAGCATTTCATCAAACACTTGTTGGACATTAATATAGCATCACAACTCAATTAACCCTAAACCCTACAGAATACTTTCATTACAAACCCAATCAAAGATAAACAGAAAACAAAGCAACAATGCGCAAATACAATTCTTCATTATAGCATTTCATCAAACACTTGTTCGACATTAATATAGCATCACAACTCAATAAACCCTAAACCGTGAAAAACACCTTCATTACAAACCCAATCAAAGATAAACAGAAAAGAAAACAACAATGGAAACCCAATAAAAAATACACACAAAATCAAGCAAATGTTGTTAAACGAACACTCACCACCGCAGGGTCGCTCAAGCAACACACAGTGATGTTCAGCTCCAACGACACGGACGAAGCCAAGCGACAGGAAGTCGAGCACCGTCAAGAGCGAGATGGAGAAATTTTAAGAAGTCGAGCGATTTAGATAGCGGTTAATTGGCCAACCGCTATCTAAACTATACATTATGATCGATTATTATCCAATTATAATCGATCATAATCGATGACTTTAGATAGCGGTTACTTGGCCAACCGCTATCTGAACTATACATTATGACTTTAGATAGCGGTTATATGCCCAACCGCTATCTGAACTACATTTATTATAGCGGTTATCTTGCCAACCGCTATCTAAGGTCGCCTCGCGCTCGAGTTGAGCGACAGTGACAGTTGAACCTTTACCAAACGAAAGTAAACTCCTGCAAATCCTGGAAGGAGAAAGGTGTACCCTTGAGTTACTTTTTCTCATATGAGCTCGTACAAAGGCGCCAAGAGCTTTCTTATTCACTCTTGGCGGGGACTACTACTGGGAAACCAAACCAAAGGAGCGAAAACTTTTTATGCTGTTGGCTGCTTGGGCGCTTACTCTGCTCTCGTCTATGCCCTTGTGTGACGCAGCTGGGTATCGATTTGACTTTCGGATCTTTAGGTGGCACTCACTTGCCCCGTCTTTGCTCTACAAACTGATGGAAAGGCAGGAGCCTGGAAGCCAGGAAGAACGACCCCTTCAATTCTTCTATAACATCCCCCATTTTTACAATATTACATATCTGAATCCATACAATTTTACTAATCAAACCCTTATTTTTAATTAATTTCTTTTTAGCCCCGGTTGTCTAAGAGTTGTTTGTTTTCGGTTGTCAAATACTCGTTTTCCTAATAGAATTCATTCTCTGGCGCCTCCATAGCTTTCACTCTCCAACGCCTCCAACCAAAGTCTTCACTCCAGCGCCTCCATAACCTCCACCGTCTTCTCCTTCTCCTTCACCAACCCTTCCGTCCGCGAACCCTTCACTTCCAGGCCAGTCCAAAGCACAACTCCAAAGCACTTTTTCTCTCACCTTGCCGTTGAACGGAGTATTCCGTTGAACAACCGAGTGGAGTTGGAATCGTTGAGAGCTCGCCACGGTCGTGAAAAATGTCTGTCCTCCACGATTTCGCTGCTTCCATGGTCTCAAACCGAAACCCCTAGTTGTTTTCAGGGAACCCCTGGCTCGTTGCTTCGCTAAAGGCATCACAGATAGGCTTCAGGTTCTCTCCACTGGTTTTATCGAGGAGGATTTTGTTGACGCCTGCATTGGATTCACAGAGAAGGGAATTTTGGTTTTCAATTTGTGACGTGTCTTCTCCACCCACTAATACAACCTTATTCAACTAGTGGCTTCTGCCTACAACAGCAAGATCAACATAGCTGTGAGTCTTTCTTCTTCTTTTTGTTAATATGACCCATCTTAAGATATACTTTTACTTTTCATTCACATATTTGACTTTTTTTGTTTGTTGAAGAAGCTCCATGTCATACGGCGTAGTCATTTCTTGCTTATAAGAACATAAATGCTCGGTTTTGATTTATCAGCAACAAAATTTACTAAACAACGGTTGTGTTTAATAATTTTCATATTCCACCTGAGAATTTTTGAACCTGTGAAAGCTGTCCAGAATTGTGAACTTACAGGAATTTATACATAGTTAGAGATATATAACAAAGGACGCCAGATCTAAATTCTGTTAACTTGAATCTTTTTGGAAAGCAGGGCTATGCTTTTAATAGAGTCAATTATTCCCATGTCACACAAGAATGTTTTTTTTTTTTTTTTTTTTTTTTTGAGTTGGTTTGCTTATTAAAGAATTGATAAATCATTTTTGGGGACTACTTTTTTGTGAGTGTCTTGTACTAATTTGGTGCTTGCTGATTTCTTTTATTTGAGGAAGTGTGGTTTGGTATGAAGTCTCAGATTGGTAAGATGTGGTACAAAATGTGTGGCAGCGATTGGAAGATTGGTGATCCTTGTTACTCTAACATATGGGAATACCTTGTCTAAGTTACTAGCATGTTTCCTTTATGTATTTGAGGGTACTTCTGGAGCTGATCTAAGTAGATTATATGTATAAAGTCACATGCTGAAGCTCATAGTTGTGTGATGTTTGTTTCCTAGAGGCTGTCATGATTCTGTTTCATGTGTAACTTCAGCTTTAACAGATTGGATTTAACAACCTTCTGTTTTGTTGGAAAGCAAGCATGAAAACATTATATCATAACAGTTTTTTTTTTTCAACTTATAGAATTGGATAATACTTATAAGAACATGAAACAAATAAATAGCAAAAATTTTCAGTTTGCATACAGTACATATAAATTGTTCATGAATATCTACCAGTGTCGGTATCCTCGTCTAATGAGCAGTGATGCTGCCGAGACATGTTCAAAGTCTTGGTAATCTCCTTGAGAGAGTTAGACAAGTTCATGTTACAACACTCAGAGGTATACATACGCATTTCTGTCTTTCATACTCTACTGTGTCGACTTCCAATGAGCTGCCAAGAAAGCTCAACAAGTCTGAGAGAAAACCATCAGTGACAAGTTTTAATGAGCTTAAGCGCGAAGCTAGACTGAAGAAAAAGGAGAAACAAAAGGTGCATGAGATTGTATTACAACCTCCTGAAAATGGCTTGTTGGTTAAGCATCTGATTCCTATTGCTCATGAAGTTATTGCTGCCAGATGTGAACTATTATCTAGTAATTCAAAACTCATCAACTACACTGCTATTTATACATGCAGGTAACACCATGACTCTGGTATTTTTCGTTATGGTTGTTTAAGCTGTTAGTGTTTTGCTTACAGAACTTCCATTCAAGTATCATAGAGTTCCATCAAAAGTATTTTTATCTTGTCTTTTTAATTAGTCAACACAGACGATTTTTCAATACATTCTGGGTTTTAGAGTTCTTCATATGAACAGAATCTATAATATGAATAATGTTGAAATGACTCATCACTTGGATTTTTAAAATATGCATTATTGTTACTTTAAGCTGTTAGATGCTTTGCAGCTTATGTGGAGAAGTTCATGTTGGTCATCCTGCACATAAAGTTAGAACATGTGATGTTAGAGGAAGTCCGTCAAGCAAAGAACATAGTTGGATCAAAGGTGGTGTTGAACATGTTCTGCCACTTGTAGAGTCATTTCATCTGTATGATAGAATAGGGAGGGCTGTTTCGCATAATGAAATGCTTGAAGTGGACCGAATTCCAGCAGTTGTGGAATTGTGTGTTCAGGCAGGTTTTGACATACCTGAGTACCCTACCAGGAGAAGGACCTTCCCTGTTTACTGTGTTGCTGATAGGATTATTGATTTTGAGAAAAGATTTCCGAAAGAAATTTCTGTTGGGGAAGATATAGAAGCACATGGATTTTGGTATAAGAAAAAACGTTTCAATGAAGACACAAATTCTATGGTGATGCATTCTGATGATATCCAAGGTTTATGATAAGAAATACTTTTTTCTTCTCAGACATTACTTTTGTCAACTTTACTGATTATGAGCATACTTCTGTGCAGCTATTGCTGTTCAAGGCATGAAAGCCTGGGAAAAAATGCGCACAGGAGCTTCAAAACTTATGGAGAAGTATGCTGTTCAAACTTGTGGATATTGTCCGGAGGTACAAGTGGGACCAAAAGGTCATAGAGTACGAAATTGTCAAGCTTTCAAACACCAGATGAGGGATGGGCAACATGCATGGCAGGAGGCAACAATTAATGATCTGGTACCTCCAGTATATGTCTATCACATTCGGGATCAGCAACCTAGGAAACCTTTAGTAAATGAGTTGAAAAGGTACTATGGTATGCTGCCTGCAGTGGTTGAGCTATTTGCTCAGGCTGGGGCACCAGTTGGACAGAATTATGCATGTATGATGAGGGAAGATGTTGTAATCCCTGAAATGGATGAGGAAAAGTGGGTTGTTTAAAGCATTGGATTGAATGACTTCCTATGCATGAAGGAACCATTTGGGTACTGGAAGAGTCTAAATATAAAAAATGACGGTTTAATTTCTTTCAAACTAACAAAAAAAGGTTGAATACGCTGACAAATATAAGGACTTGTCTAATGAGGCAGTTAATTAGGGAGGTATTATTATGATAAGAAGAACATTGGACTAAACTATACGCTGGCAACTAAGGTGCAGTCTTGATTACATGGAACATTCTGCTTCTGGCATTCTTTGCAGGTCAAAAGACTTGGTTTCTTGCTTGGGTTCCTTCAAGAACAGCTTTTCATCCCTCTGCCAATCTCATTCATCCCTTCATTTACTTTATAGTCCATTGTGATTTATACAATATTTAGTAATATAATTTCCTACTGCTAAAACCAAAGAAAACCTTAGCCCACAGGATTCATTTAGTGTTTTCTTTTCTGATATACAAGAGACAAAGAGATAGTTGGCAAATGCACTGAAAAAGGAGGAGAAAATTTCTTTCTTGCCAAATATGGAGGAAGAGAGTATAAAAGGAACTTCAGAGATTGGCAATAACCGTAAATTAGTTCCTGGGTTCCACCGCCATCAAATTGCAGAGCAGGTATATCCTTTGGAATATTTGGAATGTTTTTGCTGGAATTTTGACAGTCCACTCATTGTTGTATTTGCTGGAATATACCTTGATTGTGTTGAGTGGATGATTGCTATACAATTTGTTTCTGAATTACTTCCTGTAATTTCCATCTCTCCAACATCAAAACAGTACAGATCCCTCAAGAAAGGAACTCTAATAAGAAAGACTCAACCTAATCAGAACCACATCATTGAGCCGCTTTTAAACCCGTCTGCCATTGAACAACAATACCATTTGGATGGCTTTCTCGCCCTCTAACAATAGCCTAATGGCCAAAATGTAAATCCCTTGGTCTCCTACTTGAATCTCATTGGAATCCCAAGGTTATTTGCTTGATGGGCTTCTTGTTGGAGTAGGTCAAATTATTCAAGGTGAATTGAGAAATTTGAGGTGTGATTGGTGGGGGTGCCTAATGCCATTCAAATGGACTTGTCCATACAAAATTTTAATTTACTGACTAACTTCTTTTCTTGAATTGAATCTTTTAATGAAAGAAATCTTTAAATGAAGTACCCTAAAATGCAAACTATAATGTTCTAGGTTTTGTCACCATTCTATTTATCCTGCCGACTTGTAATAGCATCTATAATTTGTAATTAGCCTTGTCTACTGCACTAATGCATGCTATCGCATAAAATATAGAGTTGTTTCAGGATATTTTTCCCCTCTATGTTAATTGTTGCATTACATAACATTATGCTTTGGCCCTACATTCTTAATGGAAAATGGATAGATTTAACATTTTTCTCTTTCAAGCACTTTGCTCCTCACCAAGATTTTACGATTAGTGAAACCAACAGCTATAATGTTTTTTAATTGATTGCTTGTGTTGTGTTATAATTTGCTCCATAATTTCAAATTTAATATAATGCTAAGAATTTTAATAAGCACTAAAATTATAACTACTTGAGTGTTTAAGTCAACAAGAACTCTGTATAGTCTCCCTACTTACCATTTGAGCCTAGAGCATGATACATTAGTATTATATAGAATTGTCAAAGTGCATTCAATAACACAAAATCAATTACATGATATATATATTATTTGAGAGATGGATACACTAGAAATACACAACCAAACCACAGCAGGACATTGTGGCAAAAGATTATCTATTTTTTATGCACTAAAAATATCCCCGAGCATGTACATTTCATGAAATGAAGGCTCCATTAGAGGACTTGCTGTATAATACGTAAAGGGAAAAACAACAGTACACAGCTAAACTTCTAAAGTATGCAGCGGATATAATTTTCCCAAACTTGACAAGAATATGTGAGGAGCAATAATAATAACAAATGTTAGCAATAAATAATAATCACCACAAAGAGACTCAACAATTATTTACGTGAGAAAAATCCTCTTAATTTAAGAAGTAAAAACCTACGGGCACAAGTCAGTAATCAAAATTCCATTATGATCAAAATCAAGGTACAAAGTGTTTCAAAATTATGCACAAATTCGTGTAAATAGTCAGCCAATACAACAAATCAACAAAGCTATCAATGAAAAACAAAAAACTGAAAACTTACAATTTCGTGTTACTGTTCTAGTACGATTATTCCCAGTATAAACCTCAGAACAAAGTTTCCAACGGTCAAAACTTAGAACCACATATAAGAAACTTGATACTAAAATTTGAGTCTGATTCAACGGTTAACGAATTGGTGATGATTGTTTTACCGAAACTAGTCAGGATTTACCAAAAAATTGAGTATAATCTATTATTTTTTCAAATAATCGACTATAATCTATTAATTTTTAAAATATACATCAAATAATTACAAATAAAAATATATATCTAGTTAAAATACATAAATTAAAATTACATATATGAATTCTAAATTAATTTTATATATAAAATTTACATAAATAAAAAAAATTATCAACTTAAAAATAAATTATATTTTAATATATATATATATATATATATATATATATATATATATATATATATATATATATATATATATATATATATATATCAGCTGAATGTTTCACCTGAGTCATTGTCATAGATGTGGGGATGGAAAAGATGCTTCATTGTCATAGATGTGGGGATGGAAAAGATGTTTCTAGCCATTTGTTTCGGCGTTCGTTTAGTAAGACAAAGTTTTCTGTTGTTGTATGTTAAAGTGAAAGTTATTTGTAAGAAAATTAATTAATAATGTTTTGAAATTTTATATTATTGCCAGTTGACAGCTTCCTCCTCTTATAAATTAGTTTCTAAAGTAGTTAGAACGCAAATTATACTCTTGACTGGGAAGAGAAGAACTGATAAGAATACGCACAATGTTTTGGTGACAAATAAAATAAAAACGTCGCATCCTGATTCTTCTTCATCTTGATTTTCTTGTGTCTGCATTATTCTGTAGTTAATTCAACGTTGTGTGATGATCTAAACTCTATATTAGGTTTTGTCATGTCAAGAAATTATTTGTTGAAGTTAGTCTCTCACTGGTTAATTTCTTTCTACATGTTACAAGTCACCATTATTATGTGTTTAATTGAGTTAGACAGGTACAAGTTTTCCTGTCTAAGAATGAATCAATGATTTATTGGAATTATATTTCACCAAACATAATTTTATTCTGTTTGAATAATGGGTTTTGTATGACGAAGCTAAACTACCCCTGAGAAAAGGTTCTTTGGTTTTCTTTAAAGGCGGTAAATAAAAAAATATATACCAGGGAGTATTCTTTAGGAAATATTCTTTATTGAGTTGTATTAATTAATTTTATCTCTAAGTGCTGTGGAAGATCTAATGAGAATACGAGCATTCTTTATATCTCACAAGAAGGAACTAAAGCAAGCAGATGCCACGTGTCTTTTTCAACTCAAAATCTCGGCAGTTTCAAAGTAATCATAAAAAAAGTTATTGTTTACACCCAATCTATTACATCTCCAGGAACTTATTCCAAATAAAACCCAGCATGACAGATAACCTCATACTGAATCGTTCAACAACATAACACAATCCAAGAGTAACTTGTAACCCCAAGAAAAAGGAAGAAAAAAAATTGTATAAGCTTTTACAACAAATTATGTTCCACATGAGACTATAAATGCTTGAGATCAGAACAAGAATTAGACACGATAGGTCTATCTTCCGATATTTGATATGTATGCTATAGCATCAATTTCTAGCACCATAGGGCAAATAACTACAATACTTAAACAATAAAAGTTGTCAGTAATTTTCGCTCCTTGCAGTTTCTAGCAACTCACCATGCCTTAACAGTTCCATTTGCAAACTATACAGGACATATTGCATTGCTTCCATTTTCTTGGCTGCCAATTCAAGTAGGATTTATCAATAAAACAGAAATTATTCTTCCAGAGAATATAACCATGCCACACATATAGCCCCATGCAAGTTGTTTCTCAATGAGGAAAAGAATAAATAACAAGTTTTACTCTCTTCTTACACGTTCTGGAAAATGATTAAATTTTATGATGAAATAAAAAATATAAATCTAATCAGTTCCCCAAAAAAACACAACTTTTCATTGAATTTCATTAGCACTAAATAATGATTTTTATATAAGTTGTAAAAAAATAACAGTGAGATTGTAACACTGCCAGCTAATTTTATTTTATTTTCGTACAGTAGAATCCACTATCCATTACACTAGTTTCAGAAAGGAAATTCAGGATATACTGAGGTTATGTTTATGTTTAATTTTTCACAAACTCACAATGTGAACCAATTAAAGTTTCAGCTTATAGGGAATGATGTACTAATAACTAACAAGGTTCAGTCATTCCACATTAGATTCAAGAAACAGCTTTGGCATATTATTTTAATTTTTTAGAAAAGCTAAACAAAATGTATGTATAAAAGTTAATAGAGGACAGTTCACCGTACCAGTACAGAATTGGCTGCAAGCCTGCAAGCGATCTCAATATATATACGCTCTTGTCAAAACCTATATACAATTGTAAGTATACATCTATAGTTGGGTATGGGAGATCGAAGCTGGCAGGCTTCAAAGAGTAAACCCTTCTCGGATCATTATAAGCTATAATTTTGATCTTGTTCTGACCTTGAGACTGCTTGGTAATTTGATCTTACATTCTGAATTAAATAATAGCGCAGTGCGAACATTAATAACAGATAAAAGAAATGGAAGAAGGATGAACTAATAAGAAAAGTAAACTGCATATTGAGATCATTAAAAAAAGGACAACACCTATTTTAGTCTCAAAATACAACTAATGTTAATTTGGTCCTCTAAACAAAGCTGAACATGAATTGATCCTTATTAATAGAAAGGGACATCAATTTGGTTCTCTAAAGAAAATTGCATCAATTTAGCCTCTCAATTGTATCATTAGCGTCCTCATGTTTCAAAATAAAAGGAAAATTTTGATTCAACTTCCATAAATTGAAAGACTAAATTTAAGTTAGTTTTCTGGAGGTCCAAATTGATGACACTTCTATCCTTGGAGGACTAACGTAACATCCATTTCAAATTTCTTTGATTATTTATCTCACAAAAGAGGGACGAAGAAGAAAATGGACTGAGGAGACCTACTCAATCTCCTTCCAAAATTTAGGTAATACATCTGTTTTTATTTTTATGCATTTTCATATCTCAAGAATGACAATATAACCAACAATGAGATAACGTACTGTACTGAATGAATTAAAACATATAATACTTACAGGAAAAGCACGTACTAGTTCATTAGTGAAATATAAAATCAATATAAGGTGTTTATTATATACCTAAACTGAATGATGAATGATTTGTGAAAAGGCCAGAAGGAAAATCAAAATACGCATCTCTTAGTTCTTAAAAAAATATATTTTTCGTAAAGAAATAATGCAGTAAAAAACAAATTTCAATTTCTATATTTCACTCTTTCAATATTACAATTATCATCCACTACTCATCACAACTACTTTATTAGTAATTCCTCCCAAAGATATGGTAGTTTTTCCCAAGTAAGCTAAACTATCAGTAAAACTAGACAAGAATGATAATGGCAGAATGGAAGAATAGGCAAGTAATACATTGAATAGTTTTACGAGATTGCACTGTACCTCTAGTAACGTGATGTAATAGAAATCCTCCATATGCTGCATCAGAGCACTTCCATCTCTGATTGAGCGGAATATATTTATTTCAGTTTGCAACAACTTCTCAATAAGTTCCTTCTCACCCTTCAACTGATACATTAAAGTTGGGAATATGTAAGAAAGACCACCTCTAGATTCTTAAAAGGAGGAATATGTCAACGTGACTAATAGAAATATCACATTTTGATAGATTGAGAAGAACACAATATTCTAATAAGGTGAATATCTATCGCGTTAGTTAGACCCTTAGAGCAGAAAATGACATTGCATCTACGTAAAACTTTACAAACGTGACGTTAAACATGCATTCAATCAAACAGGTGAACTATGTATAAACTGCTGCTGAAAATATTTTCCACAGAAATGAAAAATGAATGGAACCAAAAGTAAAAATAATAACCAAATGTGGACCATAATTATCTCATGCAAATGCCAAGTGCAACTAGTGAAAAAAAGATATTACATTGAATTTCTTGAAATAAAAAAGAACAAAACCATAACAATAACAACAGACAAGCCTTTTAAAAGAAACACATGATTAATATTCTAAAAGGACAGTAAAAACCTACTCAGAGTACTCCAAGAGGAGCAAAAACATACTACTATCAAAGTAGGGATTATTTTTTAACCTCTTTAAAACATTAACCACTCAATAAATGTATGTTGTCTACAATCAGATAAAAAGTGACATTTGAATGAGAAATAATTTGTTAACCAATTCCCATTTAACCTCAACGATGAGGTGAGTAAAATGCATGAGGATATATACCTTGCTAGCCTATTGAGGTGTATTTGGATAAGATTTAGAAATTAAAACCCATTGATGTTATAGTGCTTTATTAAGAAAAATTCAATTGTCATAATAAAAAATAAAAATGTTTTTTAAATTATTTCCTTGTATTTAGCACAAACTAATAACACCTTAATATCTAATTGGAATATAACATGTAATATGCATGAGATCAAAATTAATGACTACAAGTGAATTTGTCTTGAAAGTTAGAAAAGAAGAAACATACAAATTCACTGACTATAACATCCGGTGTTGATTCCCCAAGAACATCACCTTCATAACCATCTCCCAAAATATCTTTGTTTTCCTGGATAACATGCATTTGATATATATTAGGAAGAGTAGACATTAGAAAATGTCAAATCCATAAACTTCAAGAAATTATTCCTGTTAGTCTCAAACAACTAACTTTCATTTCATATCTAATACCATGCTATTGAAGTGTAATTACAAAGTATAACTATTGATGCCACAGTGATACCCAATATAACAGCCATTCTAATTTTGGGACTAACAAATGTAATTATTTCATTTCAATCATTTCCCCTAATAGTCATTTTGATTATTCAAATTCAGTCATTTCCCCTAATAGCCATTTTGATTATTCCAATTCAGCCATTTTCCCTAATAATCATGCTCTTAATAAGAGTGAAAATTACATTGCATAACTATCGAGACTAAACAATGTAATCAATTCATTTCAGTTTTTTTCCCTAAATATTGCCATTAATAGCCAAATCAATTAGGCAATTTAAATTGTCAACAAGAACCCAAGTGCTTGACAAGACAGTGGATGATACACAAAAGAGTATATTCTTATATTCTGATTTTTAATAAAAATTTGTGTGAGTGCAAAGAATTATAATAACCACTCACTAGGGCACTTCCTAAAACCCCTGCAGCAAGAAATACGGGTCTCTCAACATGACAATAACCCATTAACCGTGGAACTGTAGGTATAATATCTCTGTGATTCACAACTCGCCAGCTATCTTTAACTCTCTGCAGATACAGCAGAAAAAACAGTTAACTATTTTACAATGTCAAACAGAGAAACAAAAGTGTCTACTTTATCTAACATGATAAATTAATTGAGAAGACAAAATGTCTCAAGGTTAAAGATTATAATATACAGGAAGATTTAGAACTTAGAAAAGTTGAAGAACGTAATGGACAATCAAGTCAATATAGTATGCAACAAGGCAATGGAAACAACATTAACAAAATCTATAATCTTTTCTAACCTCATTGTAAACTTCTGCAAATCTTTTGTTACCGACCCTAGGAGAACCAAAGTTGTACATAGTAATAGAAATTGCTCCCTGCCTGGTGGACAAATAAAAATATTGCACATGGTAACTGCCATCAATATAAATGGGGCAGAAAGAGGGAATATAAATATTACAGTGTATTAATTTGCAGTTCCTATCTTTCAGTGATAGTATAACTTGGAAAAGGTTGGGAAGAGGTTAAAAATGGTGAGAAAAAGAATTCAAACTAATACAAGAGGATACATATATAGAACTCTACAACCTAGATGACTCAAATATTTTGCAACTAGTAGCAGTATATGTATTCATTTTTCTCATATTTTTAGGGAGGGTAATCAACGTGCTGATAAACTTGTTGACTTTGGCACTAGGTCTTAGGTTATATACGGTGTTGCATATAGTTGTAGGTGTTTGTGGTGCCAACTTAATTAGGATGACCAACAACATAGTGATGTTTTAGCACTCTCATATAAAAAAAAAAAAAAAAAAAAAAAAAAAAAACACTCATACAAGCCTAACACTAATTACAACAATTAATAATAATTCTTTGTCTCCCCACAATATCTTATTGGTAATAATTACAATACTTGATACCTCAACAATTCCCCTTAAATTGGTGAATGGATATCAATCATTCCTGACTTGTATGTAAGATTATGAAATTGTCTAGCGATAAGTCCCTTTGTAAACAGATATTCTCCTGAAGTCCTAATGGGATGTAGGAAGAAGCTAAAAGGCTATTATCCAAATTTTCTTTGATGAAGTGTTGGTCTGTCTCTATCATGCTAAACTGCATTATGAGCAATACTAATAGCTGATTTATTATCACAAAAGAATCATAGGTTCTTCATATTTCACTTAAACATCATTCAAATATTTTTCAACCATAACAATTCACACACCCATTGTATCATAACTCGAGATTCAGCCTTTTCACTGAACCTTGCAACAACTTTTTGTTTCTTATTTCAAGTTTCTCACTAATACAATGTGGGACATCAACATAGTAAAAATAGAGGAGTCTAACCCAGCAACAATGGGAGGAGTCATGGGCACTTGAAGGAGAGAGAAAACAACCGTAGGAGATAGAAAAAGCATCCTCATGAGAGAGGAGATATGTAAACCATCCCCAAGTGCTAGCAGGTACGGCAAAAGAGGTTGTCAGACGTGCCACCACACACAGCTACCATAACAAAAGGTGAGAAGATGCACGACAATGGAGGGTGCAAGAGAGCACGGCAACTTTGTTGGGCACAAAGATTGTCTGGTCAACTCCATCATGAACTCGTCGGTTTGAAAGCTGACAGCTATAGATAGTGGTAGCAGCAGCATAAATGGTGGAAAACAAAGGAGAAACAACTGGAAAATGGTGCATGAAGAAGTGTGAAAGCTGGAAATCAGAATGAGACGAATTTTAGAAAATATTTGGCACTAATGGAAAGTGGGTCCACTGGGAAGACACAAATTTAGATTAGGGTTTGATACCAAGTGAAGATAAATGGTAGTCATATGAGGAAGTGTCTCAAGCACAACAAAGGAATATATATATATATATATATATATATATATATATATATATATATATATATTTTAGATTTCAACTCAATACTAACTAATAGCAAGTGAAGTAACCCAACAAATATATAAGCCACACCCCAAGAATTGAGGCAGGCGATGTAGGACTCTCCCCAACACACTTGAGATGCCTACTACAATAGATGATGACTAAGAAGAGCAATATGCTCTAATATTATGTCAGATTTCAACTTAAAACTAACTGAGAGTAAGTGAAGGCATAACAAATATATAAGTCACATCTCGAGAATTGAGACAAATGATGTTGGATGGGATGCTACTTATATATTTATTGGATCACTTTGCTTATAACCAATTGATAATAAGTTGAAATATGATATGGTATCAAAGCCTATGACTCTTCTTAGTCTAGCCTATCGTAATAGGCATCTTGTCAAGAGGGGTGTTGGGGAGAATCCCACATCATCTGTCTCAATTCTCCGATATTTATTTGGTCCTTCACTTATCATCAATTGGTATTAAGCTCAAATCTAACACATGCACATAGGGTTGGGGGCCTAGGCCTATGCATTACATACACCTAAAAACTAGAATCACCTTTATCTATCTATTTCTTGATATGATCACCATTGGCATCTTCACTAACTAGACATAAAAATGCCATCTTAAATGGTTACTACGAAAATATTTATATGGATCAGCCACCAGATTTTATCATTTCAAGTGACCCTCGCCTGGTTTACTGGCTTCATTCTTACATTGCTTGAAGCAATCTCCTTGTGCCTAGTTTAGCCATGTTAACTCCACCTAGTTACAATTTGGCATGACAAGGAACTTGGCATTTACCTAGTTGTCTATGTTGATGACATTGTCATTATTGACAACAACTACATTGGTATCTACCACCTCAAATCTGATCTCCACTATTAATTTCAGACAAAAGACCGGACTGCCCAAATACTTCTTGTTGATTGATTGCATTGCAAATTCCCATATTGATTATCCTAGGGTGGATGTCCAACCTCCCCCTCCATACCTAAAAGTTGTCAAAGTTATAGAAAATGTCAAGGGAAGGTCGCAGAAATTCTTACAGTCACTAGAAAAGTCACAGGAAAGTTGCCAAAGTCATAGCTTCAATAGCCCAAACTTGCTGAAGAATTTTTTTTGGAAACACAGCCTCCATACATCAGGAGCTTTAGATACCGTGGGAGAAAAGAAAAACAGAGTTTGAGACAAGATAAAACAAAACCATACTTTTTGAATATGCTTTAGTGAATTGTCCACCCAGCAACTTAATATATTAAGAATAATTGTTACAGATTATAGTTAACAACTTCTATTTTTTAATAGAACAATTAAAATACCACGACTTCCTAAGATACATTGAACTCAGCTATAATAAGTTACTTCCAAAGATAACAAACATTAAATGCCCCTATGTCCAACAATGAATATAAAAGAGACATACAAGAAGAGAAGAAAGTACACTATATCTACAGAAGAAACAAATAGCTTTTCAAACAATTTCCTCTTTTAATCTTCACCCTCTAAGAGAGAGAGATGAGTGACTGTACATTCTACACAATTAATACACAATTTTTTTTTCTTTCAACTATTTAACATACTGGGTATAACCAACAGTAGAATTAATTAATATAAATAAAACATTTTGATAGTAAATGCATGTTCATTCACACGTAACAATAAGAAATTGAAAATAAATTATAAATTAAAGAAATAAAGTATGTACGAAATAATAGACTTACTTCGCTAATTGATTAGATGAAAGTTCTAGTGCTAGCAAGGTTGCCAATGCACCACCCAAACTATGACCAGTCACATAAACATGCCATTTGTGAAGTGACTTAGAATGATCATCTCTGGCACAAAAAAACAACTTTTGATTGTCAGTGCAAATCAAATTTTGAGATGTACTGTTGACATAATCTTGGACTCAAGAATTAGAGACATAAAACAGTAAGCGTATTAACGAAACAGTCTGGTTTAGTGACTAGATTTGCAGTACAAGCACTCAACAAAATAGGGTTTCCCTTACAAGGAGATTTCTCCTTTCAAACACCGTATGCAACAAACTAACACCTTAATACCCTCCTACAAGTCTGTCCATCAAACCATGAGCACAATTGATAAACCCTATTGATAAAATGGCAATAAAATAGAATATTGAACACTGGAATCACACATAATAGTTCAATACACTTGTTGTCCCAGAGACAAAAGTCTGCCTATCACTTTTAATACCGCAATACACTTGCTGCTGTCCTAGAGACAAAAATCTACAGAGAGTATTCTCTATCTATAAATTACAAATAATTTCACAATCCCCAATAATTACACAACCAACAATCAGATACATACTCCAGATACCTTACTACCAGCAGTTATTTTTCACCCGTAACACCCATCCTACAGTTTCTAAGACATAATTTACTGGTAGTAGTTATTTTCTACTCATAACTGCCGTCCTGGATTTTTTAATCCAGAATTGATTCCTACACATGATTGTTATAATCGCCCCTAATACTCAGTTCCTATCAATAACACTATCCTAACTCATAACCTCCTAATACAGAATTATAACCTAATATAAAATCTATCTCATAGTAACATGTAAAAAACAAATGAACTTCAACATTATGTGTCAATACATCATAACCAGAAATGAGAATTCTACCCGCCAAGCCATATGTGAACATTGCTACTTTCTTCAGGAAAAAAAAATAATAATGGAAAATAGTGAAATGTTCTGTTTGAGAATCATTCATGTGCTAAGAAATGTAATAAAATCATTCATGTTCCTTTACCCAAACAGCTTAGTTTTTGGGATGATTCGTGGCATTCTATCAAATCCTCAAAAACCAAGTAGTTAGGATTTCAATCCTTCAACTGCATTCCATTCTTCTAATTAAAAAACCAATTTCTAGGCCAGAAGCACTTCAAGAATGGGCCTTGTGTGAGGTGTTTAGCGATGTAATTAAAGCATAATGTACCTACACCCAAAACCTAAGTTTTTGGGGTAGCTAGTTCACCACAATAAATAATTCATTTGTCACATAATTCATAAAAATACTTAATTAATTCACTTTAAAAGCTTCAAGTTGGAAAGCAAAGGGATTTTCAAAATATTCTAAGAAATACAGCACAGTTTCAAGGCAGCATGCTTGGTGCAACAAAATTTCTTCACAAGTCAACTTACAAATAACCAATTGCAAGCCGAATTAGAGAAATGATCCTGGTCCGTACTGAATCATACGCACTTAGAAAACCACTGTGAACCTACAATAATCATTGCACCATCAACAGAACATAAATATTACGTTCCTAAAGCCTTAAAAAAACCTACTAAACATCTTTGACAGATAAAAACCTTACAACAATTAACATACTTGAATCTCTTGCTTGAAATCTCCACCTATCCTTTCGGGATTTAACCTATGAAAGTCATAAAAAAGTTAGTTATGGAATGAAATCATCTTGTGAAATCTAAAGGATTTTAGTAATATCCCTAAATTATTTATGATTTGAGAGAGCACCACCAACGAAAATTTTGAGGGCCCCTGAGATGGTACAACCTCAAAAACCATCATATGAATTTGTGACTTTAATACTTTTAAGTAATAATACTCAATACCAACAACAAAAACAATGATGTTGTAGTTATTCAATATGAACTAAATAAAATATCTTGCTGCCTCCTGTCCCCAAAATATGCATCTGTTGCTTTCTATAACTTCTACTTATTTTTAATTTTATCTCATATCAATTTTTTTAAGAATTATTTTCTTTCAAAGTTATCAAATATATTACAAAAATCAAGCAGCATCAAATATAATTACAATAATCAAATACATACAGGCACAATTTCTCACAACATTAAAACTATATAAAAACAGTGAGACACTAGTTCGCTATAATGACCGCAAAGTAACACCTTTATGGCTGAAAAAAAAACAAACAAACCACTAAATAAGTCAAAATTAAGTTGGAAATGAATGCTACCCAGCTGGCACAAGCATTAGATCAGTTCGTAAGTCTTTCCATTGAGACTGAAAAAAAAAAAGAAGAAGTATAAGCATCTTGAACTGAAACCAGAAGCTGTACACCTAAAGAACTAGAATATGAACCACCTGTTCTGTTCCCCTAAAAGCAACCACCAATCTCCTTCGTGCAGAATCGCGCCAAATTGCAACCTGAAAGTTATAAGGACTTAGAAAATAGACAGCAGTGCATGGAACAATTGGGCACATATTACAAGTAGATTGTTGGATGTTACATTGCCAATTGAAAAATTCACAAAAAAAGAGAAGTGGACTTATTGAAGAGCATATAAACAAAACACCTGTGTGTCTGTTGATGCATTATCTAAGAAACATATTTTTCCAAACTCAGACTTAATGAAACTAGGTTGACCCAGTGAAGTAGCCAGCATTGCCCAAGCCTCCATGGCACTTTCAGCAGTAGAAAAAAGTTCTTTCATCTCTTCAGTTTTTTTATCATCCAACACTAATCCACTCTGTGAGCTGGGAAACTTCTGAGTAGTTGAATATTGTATGTCCTTGTCTCCTGATTTGGTAGAATCTTCTTTTATTTTCTTCTCTTCTGAAGAACGCCCATCATCTTTTATTTTAGAAACTGTTGCAGTCAAAAGCATTAAACCTCCTAAAATTGACTCAGTTTGCCTCATCAAATTCTGTGTTGCTTTTTTGACCTCTGGAAGTGAAGACTGAAACACAGCAATGGAAGGTTGGTCACTTGTTTTATCTTTTGTATCATCTGTGCCTCCAGGCATTGCAAGACCAGATTGAACATAAATGCTTTCTGCAATGTTTTGCGATTGTGAGCCAATTCTGTTTAAAAACTCCAATCCATCCCACTTAAATTTCTCTGGAACAGAGAGACCTAGCTTTTGAGCAATACTAGAATTAACAACATTAGCAATATTCTTCCAAAAAATTTGATTTGACAAGTCCTCCTCATTATCTTTTGTTGACAATTCAGAAGCATTTCCATTTTCAAGATCATTTTCATGTTTGTTAAATCCCTTTGAGTTCATCTGTTCCCTGTTAGCTTCATTAGAAGCTTCTGAACTACCAGCTATGTTAGAAGGAATATTGAATATAGAAGCAGATTCATTAAGTTCCCCAGCAGTTTCACTGTCATACTTATCATTATTAGTATCAGACATCTGGCCCTTCAGAAGATATGAATTGTTAAAAGTCTTTAACTGCCCGAATGCATATTCCACAAATTGGCGGGCCTGTACTGTATCAGAACCAATAACCTTTCTGAATGCAGAATCAAAACCCTTTATCTTTATAAAGTCTAAAACAAAAGGTATCTTCCACCACCTTTTCTCTTCATCAATTTCATCATAGCTTTTATATTTTACCTAAAATCCAAAATTTATTACAATCAAGACTCGTTACAATGTAAGCCATCATTTACACAACACAACAGCATTTACACCAAATTAAGCATATATGCAGATAAAGTTCAAGCATACATAAAGCATATAGCTTATATTAAAAGCCTTGAATGAAGTTGAAGAAGTCAAATTTTACATTAAAACTTATATAGCTTTATTAAAAGATACAAGATCATTTAAGAGGAAACAGTTTAATGCAAATGCATATATTGTCATATGAAGTTGAGAGTTGCAACGAATAACAGAGAGACATATTTCTTCACAAAATTATACACAAAATACAATGCATAGACATCATGCTGTTCATTAAAATCCAATCGCTCAATCATTTTTCCAAATAAAGTCTGTACTCTTAAGAAACATACCTCCAGCTGAATCTTTCCGCCACCACCCATTCCTTCCAACTCGACCAGTATTTCATGCACATCTCCTATAACAAATGCATTTTTACTAAATTTTTGCAGCCATTAGGTAACCATAAATCTCAACTTTTTGCACTTTTACTAAATAAATTCATGAGTAAATTTTTACACAACTGCAGAGAAAATAGAGCAGCAATTTAACCCATTTTAAAATTTTAAGCAGCATAAGAATCTTTCAACATTGCACTGACTAAATGTCACAAGATTTTCTGGTCCTCACCATCACAGAGCCACTCTAGATCAACACCTGCATTCCCCATGCGTTTGTGAGGAGTTACAAGATTTGCATCCCAAGCTGCAACCTAAGATATACTGCCAGTTGTTAGAAGATTGACATGAACTTTTCAGGATAACTTTATTTTTTATCATATATTTTCATGATTTGTCATTTTTAAAACCAGATGATAAAACACAGCAAATCTTGGATTAATTAATAACTCAATACAATTCACAACATGACATAATGACTTTCAGGGAAACCATTCAGGAGGGAGGAAACTTAAACACGGGGCAAAGTTAAATTTTCACAAAAAGAAAAAGCAAAAATCTAATTATGTTATAAATAGCTTTATGCTTTCCATTTATCATGTTATACAATATGACATACAACTTCTACTAGTAGTGTATAGACAATATTGATAAAAGGTTCTGGCAATCTCTGAATTTAAAGTTGTTTGTACAAAATCACAAGGAAGTTCCAACAATTGGTGATGTCCACATAATGCCTATGATGTTAATCTGCTTAGCCATTCTGATCAATATGTTTCATTTTCTACAGCAAATGGCATCACTTATCATATGGCTGTCATATATGCTTCAACATTCAATATTAAGCAAAGATCGTTGTGGCATGATCTATCTATTCTTTTGACATCAAATCCTGGTCCTTGGTCTTTTGTTGGTGATTTCAATGTGGTGTTCGGCAGTCATGAGCAGAGAGGATCAAATTCGGTGACCAGGCTTTAAGTTGAAGAATTTCAAGTTTGGTTGGATGGGAATCTTCTGCATGATATTCCCACTTCAGGTTCTTTATACACCTGAACCAATGGCAGATATAGTGCAGCCAGGATTGACAGGCGCATTTATAGAGCTAGCTGCAATTCAGAATGGATTGATTGACTCTTGGAGTAGTATTTCTTGCTGCACTTTAACTAAATGTTCTTCTGAACATTTTCCTATTCTCTTTCAGTCCGAATCAAACAGGAGATATGCTTTGCCTTTTAAATTTTGCTCTATGTGGCTGCAACACCCTGACTGTGAGAAATTGGTTACAAATGCTTGGAATACTACCAGGGTTGGATGTCCAATGGATGTGCTGACCCAAAAACTGAAGGTAGCAAAGAAGAGACATAGAATGGAATATAAATGTCTTTGGAAATGCGAATAAAAGAGTTAATTCCACTTTGGACAATCTGATCCAGATTCAATCTGAATTAGATCCTCATGCAGCAGATGAGGCTCTGCAGGAAAAAGATGCTCTAATTGATTTAGAAAAAGAATTAAATATTCAGCATGAAATGTGAGAGGAAAAAGCTAGATCTACTGAGCACATTAAGCAAGCCATGAAGCATATTTCTGCTTTGAAAGAAGGGGATAGACTACTTACTGACAGCAGGGACTTAATAATGAATAGTTGACAATAATCTAATTGATGAAGTGATTCCATCTGTGGTTTCTGAACATGATAATAATCTCCTAACTATGATAGATACCAACTAGGAAGTCGCTCATTCGGTCTTTGCTCTTAACACCAAAAGTGCTTCCAAAAAAATATAATAAAACTGCTTTTGTTTTACATTTTGGACTGATTTTCAAAATGCTTTTGAAGAAAATGTCTTTTAAAATCTAAACAAATATATTTTCACTACTAGTTTGTATTCTCTGAAAATGAATATAAAAATTCCGACAGTAGACAGGCCATTAACTTCTCTATTTCTAAATTATTAATTATGAATGTAAAGTCTTTTTTGCATTAATGACCCATATCATCATAATTTTATACATATTTTCCCCTTTTTAATTTTTTTTAAATTTTACTTAAATTAATTTTTCAGAATATCTCATAAATCTTTGTCTATCTTATTTTATATCTTACCTTAATTTTAAAATACTAGTGCAATGCATGAGATACTAGCAAGTGCAGTGCAGCAGTTAAATTCCACACTCACAAGGAGGATACCTTAATTGCTTTCTGTACACATATGTAGAGTGTGACAAGTCTAAAGAACATAACTAACAAGTCAAGAACAGAACCTATGTTCAAGTCAACTATGAACATTCTCTCAAGCACACTAGAGTCAATTGTATTAGGTTCTAATAAGTCCAAGTCTACAAAAGATGCAAGAATGTGAAAGAAGGACTTATAATGCATACCTATTATTGTATATGTACAAAGCAATGATTAGTTACCATATTCTTTCATCTATCAAAAAGACATGTCAATCAATTCCATATCAGTTTTTATTTACTTCCAACTTAAACATATTCTCTACATAGATTATCATTGATGAAGAAGGGGTTCTTGCAATGGTGCATTCCACAGAATATGTGTGTGCGAACAGATGTAATTGAGTGACAGGGATCATGGTTGTTAACCTGTAAAGATTGGCTTGGAGGCTGCTTAATATTAAATGTAAACTCCTCATTCCATGTTGGCTCTTTTGTCCTGCCATCAAGTAATTTTACAAAAATGAACCCAATATAATGACAGGTCATAATAGTAATTTAGAAAACAGTATATGAAACATACAGCTGAAGTTAAGACATTTAATTTTAGCAAAGGAAGTGGAAGACATGAGTGCAGTGGGATTTTATAAATTAAAAAAGTGGTCCCTACATGTTATTCTTTTATCCATTTAGCTATTACAAAATACTTCAAACTTCGGAAAATGCTTTCATGGACAATATGAAATATTTTTTAAAGCAAAGTCAAAAGAGTCACATCGTACAAATTATGCAGTGACATTGACTCTTAACCATTAGATGGTGGTCTTTGAACAAGTGAAATGACCTAAACAAAAATGTGATAAAAGCTCACCCCCATTTGATATTGCTTTTAGCAGTCTGAGAATCCAGCTGTATGACCACGTATGGGTCACTCGTTCCCTTGACGACACAAAAGTAGCAAATATAATATCAATAACAGAAATCATAGAGAAATACGTATGTGTATGAATTAGCTAAACAATTGGGGGTAACAGGGATAACTGTAAGATACAAAATGAAGTAAAAAGTAGTGCGCATTTCATCTTATCAGATAACTATATTTAGCTTGGTGATTCAAAAAGGTAACCAACCCATGGATCCATGGCAGGAAAATTGAAGCCTTTTTTCAACTTTATGAACAGTTGACCATCATAAATTTCATGAACAAATTCCCTGCATATACCCAAAATAATCTTGTTAAACATGCCATTATTTAAAATAAATCTTTTGAAAATAATACTACAACAACAAGCCTTGTTTGGTTAATAATGGCAACAACATAGATCAAATTCTATAAAAAATGCAGTTAAATATATCAAACTAACAACAGATAAACAGCATCTTTAAGTGCAGCCATGAAAGTTACGAAGGCAACTAAAACGTACTCAGAAAGGTAGACTGTCTTGCACCCAGCAGCATCAACTTCCCGTCTGCCCATATTTTCCTGCAACATGTTGTAATGGCCAGAAAAGGAACAAAGGTTTAAAAAGGAGTTTGAATTTCAGTGTAACAGCAACGGATTTTTCTTAGCAAACACAAACAAGTTAAATAGGGACGAAAAAGCGGCATACTTATTTTTCTTTTTCAGTTTTCATTTCAACCTTTCAAAATAAATCATTTTAAACTTACTAGTACTTTTAGAATAGTTTATTTTCACCACAGAAGAAGAGTGCAATATATCAAATTAATTCCTGAAGTTTGGTCTTTCAATTAACAGCCATTACTCAATTAGATTAGAGATCAAATCAATTGACGAGCAACAAATCAAGAACCAAATTGAATAATGCACGCCAAAGTTAAGGTCTAAAATGATTTTCAGCTATTATCATGAGGCATGAAATTGTGAAACCCAGGGATATTGTCAATTTCAAGGAATAAAATTTCTTTCTCTAAAGCTCCCCGAATAAGATGATTACTTGTTATAATTTCTTGTGCTTATTCCCTAGCTTCTAGAAAGCTGTTAAGCCATATTAAGTTTGTTACGTTATTATACAACTTTTACGTTCCATCGATTCCTTCTTATCTATTGGTGAATTGTAATTGCTTATGTTGGTTATTCTCTCTGCTGTACATTCTGACAATCAAAATTGAGCATTTTCAACTATGCCCTCAATTATCAATGCAATTGTAATTATTTTATTCTTAATATGCTCAAATTAAACTAAAAGCAACTAGGGAGAAATAAAACGATCAATCATTGTAATAAGATCGATCAACATAGCCTCAGGCACTAAAGCATCACCAAAAAATAGATAACAGAAACTCTTCTAGCACTTCAGTAGTGAATCATTCAGTACAAACAACTTCATTATTAGCAATAGTTTCTTCCATTTTCTCTAAAGTCAAACGAAAACAACAAAAAGGAACGCATACAGGTGGAGTTGTGTAAGCTTCAAAAGCGAAGCCAGCAAGAATAACCGCGAGATTGATATCGAACGGAGGCCGATCATCGTCCTCGGGAACAGAAACTCGCTGAAGCTGAGAACCGGTTTTCGAGGAGCAGCAGATTGAGAGAACTCGCCTCCCCCGCAGGGGCAAGAAAACGCGCAATCTTCCCCGAATACGAGGCGGGAAAATGCGTGGAAATGCAAATGCTGGCCCGTGAGGATGCGGAACTGGCGTGGGACAAAGAGGAGACAGACTGTAACGGAATTGGAGAGAAGACATTTTCGTATTACATTACACAATGCCAGAAGAGAGGAAAAGATAAGACGAAAGTAGAAGAAAAGGAGGAACAAACGTAGTGGCAAAACGTGTAATTTAGAGGAATGAAAGGGGTAAATGATTGCAATAATAGATAGTGAGTTTCATATCCTGCCAATAGAAGAGAAGTGTGTTCCTTGCTCACTCAGTTCCGCACAAAACTGGTTGGTTCTGGAAAACACGTCCAGAGTCAATAGTTACTTTCAACTGACTGTGACACTTTTCTATTTCCCATTTAGGCATTGCTTGATTGATAGAAAGAAAATAAAAAATAAAATAAAATTGGAGGGAGTAATATAATATATCATTGGACTTATACATATTTGCCTCTGGTTCCTACACCTCGATAATTTTGTAATGCATCAAATATCTAAGGAATATCTTTTCTCCTACTTAAAAGTAATTAATAATTAATATTATGTAATTACATATTTTTACACTTAATTTATATAAATAGACTCAAATTATTTAATATAAAATAATATTGTAAAAATATGGTTGAATTCAATAACATCAATTTGAAATATATTTTTAGATTGATTTTTTTTAAATGTATAATATATTTTTGGAGAGATCAATCTAAAAATATATTCTAAATTGGATGTTTGGAATACATTTATGAAAAGTTCAATCTAAAATTATATTTCGAATTGAGTGTTCTAGAATTTGCTTTCAGAAATACTAATCTAAAAATGTATTTTCAATTAAGTATTTCATGTATTTTTGGATTAATTTTTTTGAAATATTCAATTTATAATATATTTTTAAATTAATCTTTTTTTTGAAAATATATTTTAAAAAAATAAATCCAAAATATATTATAAATATTAAGATAAGTATAAAAATAAAATAAAGTTTAATTTACTTATGAGCTTCAGGAAGAAAATTATGAGATTATGGAAAGAAGAGCCTAAATATTTTACATGTTTCTTCTCCTAACACACCTCGTTAATTATTTAATGAATTGAAATTTATAAAATTATTAAATTCATAAAAGATGGAAGACGATGAAAAAAACACACAACAATAGATAAAAATAAATAATATAAGAAAAAAAAGTTGCGTTATTAAATATGAAAAATATTATATATATATATATATATATATATTATTAATTATTGTATTTATTTTGTTAAATGTTATTGAATCTTTATATTTGTTTTCATAAATAAATATTGTATTGTGAGATTATAAGTGATTTAATGTCAAATTGTCTTTGTTTATAAATATGTGATTGAGCTACACATATTATTTTTTATTATTTTTAATCAATTTGTTAGTTTTTCTTTACCAGTAATATGTTATTTTTTTTTTTAATTTTATCTTAATAATTTACTGTATTTTCTTTTTCACAATAAATATAACTAAAAAAAAATATAACAAAAGGATTCTTATTTAAAATGAGAGTAGGTAATATTTAGGACATCTTTATTTATTGTTTTTAAAAATAATTTTTTATTCATAAAAACTATAAAAAATTATTTCATTGAAACAAATTTTAAAATCTATTTTTGTTAATGAATGTTATATAATTTTCTATCAATGTTAAATAATTTATTTTATAATTTTCATCACCGTGTCTTGTGAATATTATATATATATATATATATATATATATATATATATATTCTTTCTTATTTAAATATTTTTTAAAATATATAATTATAATAAATTCCTTTTACAACTTATTTTTAAAAATAATTTTCTTATTTCAACCTACTTTTAGTCTTACAGAACAAAATTAAATCAAACAAATTCTCATTATTTTAAAAATTCAGGAGAGTATCTGTATAAAAAAAATAACCTATAGATTATAATATGTAACATTGATCTCAAAAAAGTGACCAAACTTTTTTTAAATATATTCAATATATTTGTTAAAAATTTATACTATGATAATAAACTATTCAACTACTCTATTCGATATTTTAATTAAAATAACATATTTAATATAAAAGCATTTTAAAAAAATATTTTTTTCTATCATTTTCAAAGTCTTATTTACTAAAAGGTTAAAAACATTAGTTACCTTTTTTTTTTAAGTAGAAAAAAAAGGAAGAAAATGACACCTTTTATTTTGAATTTAGCATTGCTAACATGTTTTTTAAACTAATAATTTATTTTAAATAAAGAAAATAATGTATTTAGAAGAAGAAGACATGTAAGAATGAAGAAGACAAGGCACAACAAGACAACACTCGCTCACGGTCGTGTTCTAAATATCGTTTCCGTTTCGGTCTTTCCATTTTTGTAAAAACCCTTCCCTCCTCGTGTCTGTGGCGGGAACTCACTCTGCTTGCACTCTCTCTCTTTCCCTTTCACCGCAATGTACAGGGTAGCCACAAGAAACGTCGCCGTTTTCCTGCCTCGTTGCCGCTCTCTTTCGCACTTCTTTCCTTCGCCATTTTCCTTTTTCATTTCATCTGTTCCCTCTCGCTTCCTTCGGTAATCGTTCTCTTTCTCTCTTGTTTTTTTCGTTTCATATATTGTCATATATAATTTGTATTTAGTATTATAAGATGTTATGTACCGAATATTCACTGTATCTGTCAAAACATTGTATTTAGGATTACACTATATTCACTTTGATACGGTATTATATAGCAGTATGTGATTGGGAAAGTGATTGAGCGTGGAACTTACTTTAACCAATACGCATTATGTTTATGAACTCATTTTGACATTTTACTATTTACCAATGTTTCTGTGATGGGAACTCACTTTTAACTTTGTATATAGGATGGAGAAAACGTGATTGGGTGTTGGGAGACTCTATTAGTAGTGATCAGTAGATTATTTTGTGAAGATTAACATTGATGAAACTGGAGATACCTCGCATGGCTAAAAATGAAAAACCATATTATTTAGTTCCTGCAGAAACTTTTTTGGTTGAAAATTGATTTGTATACTTCCTTGCTATTGGTCTCAAAATGATTGCAGTTTTACCCTTTAAATAAAATTCTGAAGTGATAGATGTGGTCTCAGTTTTCAGTGAAATCCTGGACTAGTTTGGTTAAATTAAAATAAATGTTTCTGAAATGAGAAATTTAAATGTGGTAAGTTTGTTTAAACTTAAAATAAGTGTTTTTGAATAAGAAATTAAAAGAAATTCACTTATTTAAGAAGCAAGTAGAATTTGCTTATTTATAATAAGGAGAAAACTTCTTATTTTTAAAAAACAAGCATATCAGACAAAAAAGAAGATACTTAAAATTAGCACAAACAAACTCATCCAAGATTTGCTTATTAAAAGAAGTAGAAAACTGCTTATTTTTAAAATAAGCATTTTAGTCAAACACATAAAAACAACAGGAATGTGTTTATTTTGTTGAAAAATACTCTCTTTTCTTTTCTTTTTTTAATAAAAAGATCTAACCAATTGTTATTTTATTTCTAATTTCCTCCAAAATATTCACCAAGAGAATGTTTATATTTGCTCATAAAAGTAATTTATCTATTGAGAGAATGAGGTATTTTAGTAAAATTGCTTCAATGAGTGACATATTTCTCGTTATTCTTAATTTGTGTGAAAAAAACTTTAATTGCAGTCATTTTGTAATGAGGGCGTATTTATTATGTGTAATGAATACCATTCATCTTTAATGCTTTTTTTTTTGTGCCAAACAAAATTATACTAGGAAATATGTAAAAGGCTGGTTTCTGGATTTATTGTGAGTGCCATGGTAACATCAATTTTTGCATCTGCATTTTTTTTTGTTTTTTAATTTTCATTTGAATGTGAGAAACTAAGGCAAACAATCTTTTAGTAAATTTTAGTTTAGGGACACTGTAAGAATCATAAAAATCTTGCCTGACATCTTCTTGTTTGAACAACATCTAGTGATTCAGCAAGAGTTATTGATACTAATAGTAGTTTTTGATCTTGAGTTCATCTTAGCTACATCTTGCTTGCGTTACCTTTTATTGTGCAAAATAAAATCAAATGTATTATTACATCTGTTTAGAAACTTGAGTAACTCATTCAATATGAAAAAGCATGATTAAGAAGTTAGGATATTATTGCCATGTGTATTTATATAGTCTGAATGGGAATGGCATATTTGGATATAGATCTATTTTTATTGTGTTAGATGGCAAATTAAGCACGTAATTCAGATAAAAAATGTTTTAAGTTTTTTTTTTTTTTTAAAGCACATAAGGTATGCAAAAGTATCATTATATAACTTGCAATCCCAAGTTATATCAATCAATCATTTGCAGCATACCCAAATATCATAAAAAATAACAAAGATACAAATCGAATGGGGTACTATACCAAAACCCACTAAAGAAACAAACCTATAATTAGGTAGATTCCATCTATTCCCATAGATTCTCACCACCTAGTGCATATGTGTCTAACCCCAAAAGATGCAAGTTTATCAGCAGAATAGTTGCCCTCCCTATGTATGTGAGACACAATCTCATACTGTTAAATTTATTCAACATATTCTTCCAACGATTCTGAAGACACCAAAGAACTAAATGTTGATTGGAGAAAGCTTGCACCACCAACATGGAAGTTGATCTAATATTTATTGACATGTAAATATCTATTTTTTGGTATGACATATAAACTGTGAAACTTCTTGATTAACAGAATTAATGGATTTGTAAAGAATGTATCAAGTTATGTGGATAACAAGGTTTCGAGACGGAGTAGTAGGACTACCAAGAAGCCAAAAGTACCCAATAATGTTTTGGATGATAAAGATCTTCCTCACATATTATGGTGGAAGGAGGTAAGTCCCTCTAATTTTTTGCATCTTGTGAAATGCTTAACTATCCCTGAATTTTGTTGGTTTGTTTATAAAGTCATATTTACAAGAGAACTTCATTCTCACTTTTGTTTCCTTTCCAAATTATGGCAGAGGTTGCAAATGTGCAAAAAGTTTTCAACTGTCCAGCTAATTGAAAGGCTTGAATTTTCTAATTTGCTTGGCCTGGATTCCAAATTGAAAAATGGAAGGTGAGCGAGCACTAATGAAATTGAAATTATTCCTTTATGCATTTCTTTTGATTTCTTGTAACCAAAAATTATGAAAACATTATTTGAGGTTTCTTCTTAAAAACATTTTCCTAAAAACAAGGCAGTCAAAATCTAGAGTATGGTTGGTATTTTGAGGGGCTCACAAGATCATAAATTGTGAGATTGTAATATGGATTGTGTAGATCCTTCTTGCACATAAATATGATAGGTATACTATCTTGTTCAATGTAATCCTTAAGGATTGCTGAATCTTCTGAACACCTTGCTTATATAACGCGGTAGTGATCCAATTCCATCCATAAAGGCTCCCAGGATCAAGAGCTCTGATATCATCTCAAATTTAGAAGGAAGAATATTTTAATTCTCATACAAAATTATTAGGTCATTGGACCTATATGTACACATGCCTGTTGGCTATTCTGGGAAATATGAACAATTAATTCTAGGAAGACAAATCCCTATGATTGTGGGATTTATTCTAAATACATAATCCTAGCATTGAAAACAAAAAAACAACTGTGATAGAGAATAAGAATACAATCAAAGATAAAATTTTAGCTTTCCTAAAATACACACTAAGTAATGATTTTGACATATACAATACTATACAAATTCTTGTGTTTTATACAAATCAATGCAATGTGTTATATGGGGTCCAATAGAGTATTTTCTTTTTCTTTATTAACTATCCAGCAACAACTTTATAATTGATAGCATTGTCTGTCACACTTTTGTCAATCTTTTTGACAATAGCAAATGCATTAATTGATTTTAAAAAAACAATTTCATCTTCAGTGTTCACTAAAAAGTTTAATATAATCGTTCTCCTCTTGTTGGCCCATCCTTTTATTGCTATACTGCAACCTGTATTCTTCCACACAATCATGTGAACTTCCAAAGCATTGTTGCCTAAACCTCTTCCTTTGAGTACTTACTCTAGTTTCATGGTATGAAGGTGGCTTAACACATTAATTGGTATGACCTTTTCTTAGAAAAACATTGAAACATCTCTACAAGTACTTTTTAGTTATTCATCTTGAATAATTGATTGATTGTGGCTTGCAAGTTTAATTCCCTCTTAAAAATATTTCTATTGCAGCCACATCATTCTCTTTATAGTCCTTTCTCTTTTTGCAATTTCTACATCATCATCTTTATTTTTTTCCATTAATCTCTATTGCGTACTGCAAACAACCTGAAACATTTTTTTTTTACTTCATCGGTGACACTTTTTGCAAGTGATTACATCCTTTTAATTTCCCTCCAACTGATGCTTCAAGCTATGGTCTTTTGATAAAGTTTGCATTGAATTTTTCTTGGATCTTCATCAATATATATCCCATGTTTCCAAGCCAAGTTTGTTCTACTACTGGGAGCAATTTTCCCCCACTTTGTTAGAGTGCACAATCTGTATGGAGGAATTGCCATTGTTGATAGTAGCATCAACATTTCACACAAACTGTTTTCAGAGAAAGAATGTGATGTTCTGTGTTCTAGGTGGTAAAAGTAGTACAAGGGAAGAAGAGGCAAAATATATATAATTGAGTGGGAATCCAAGAAGACAATGGTGAAAGAGATAGTGTTTGGAGAAAAACAATTGTAATGGAGGAAAAGAGAAACAGTGTGTTATGTGCAAGGATGCATTTGCTTAGCGGACAAGAAGGAGCAAACCATTAAGACCATTACGAAGTTACGTGAAGATAGAATGACAACTGAGACCTTTCTAGTTCCATTTGTGGCCTTTCCTTTCATTGGGCTTGGGTTTCAACCCAAAACCCATTCCAAGATCAAGCAAATGCGATGCAACACACATAACACTCCAATTAAAATGTTTCACAATGTTTACTGACGATCCTACTTTGGTGCAATCTTATGTGTGCACCCAATCAGACAAGTATGCAAAATCATGGAATTACACGATTCTACGATATTCCTCACAATTTTGACTACACTGCCTACAGATGCCTTAGGACTTTATATATACACAGATGGCATTATTCTATGAATTCATTACATAAGCTGCAATGTTTTTTTGTTGCTCAGATTCAAGGTCACAACTAATAGACCAATGTCAACAAGAATGCAATTTATAACTGTATATAATTGATAATCCTTTATTCTTAGCCATTTACACTGGCTACTGCTCCATAAACTTATACATAGATACTTGAACTCCCATATTGTCTTGCTTGAGGAATGGTGTTATTATGAGAAAGCTGATGGAAGAATCCATCTCCATTTGTGTAGTCTGAAGGAAGGAACGCTCAACTGGGAAATGTTGCAGTTCAAGCTAAAATTTCCACGTCAAGTATTACTTTGCAGAGTAAGTATTAGTTATGCCATTCATTGAGAGTTTAGTCTGACATTTGTGCACTTATAATGTGTTAGTAGTGTGTATACTTTTGGTTAAACATGGTCTAATCTATTTACCTTTTTGTTGATGAATTTGGTCGTCAAATTTATATGCATTTAGTCCTTCCTTTCTTCAGAAAAAGATTATAAATTATAAGAAAGGAAGTACTAAATTCACATGTTTTTTGAAGTTTGAGGACTGAGTTGATTGATAGAAAGTATAAAGACCTTGACCACGTTTCCCCGAAAGTACAGGGACTAAAAATACATATCCCCTTACTAATTCTTAATAAATTTCCTGTTGGTCTTTGTTGGTTCTCTAGCATTTTCCATCCTTAATGAAGTAAAGATTCTCTTTGTATCATTTATTTATTTTCAAATTACTGCTCAGGTTGGGGAATTTTATGAAGCTTGGGGAATAGATGCTTGCGTCCTTGTTGAATATGCTGGTTTAAATCCCTGTGGTGGTCTGCAATCAGATAGTGTTCCAAGGGCTGGTTGTCCTGTTGTGGTATTGACATTTTACTCTTTTATCTTATTTTCTAATGAAATTTAAATAATATATATATATATATATATATATATATATATATATATATATATATATATATATATATATATATATGATAACTTTTGCGGAATTTCTTATAGCCCCTTCTCTCGTTTTTTTTTTTTTGTCATAGAATCTTCGACAGACTTTAGATGATCTGACTCAAAATGGTTTTTCGGTGGTAAGTGCAACAATTAATTAAATAGTGTCCTATAATTGTTTTCACCTTTTAAAGATTTCATTACTATGTTATTGAACTTATTTTACCTGCCATCTTACCCGTTTATGAATACATTTTGCAAATTAATTTTGCTCTGAACAGTGCATCGTGGAGGAAGTTCAGGGCCCAACTCAAGCTCGATCCAGGAAACTCCGATTTATATCTGGGTTAGTACAATATTCTCTATGTGCCAGTGGTCTCTCTATCAATGTGTGTGGTCAATTCTTACAACTTGGTGTGGTTATTAGTGAGGAAAATAAACTTGTCATTTTGTCAATTATGATAATAACATATTGGTTGACTTCAAGGACATGATGAATAATCATGGTCTCCTAAGTTTGACTCGATCTTTAGGTCTACTCTGATTGGGCATTTGATCCAGATGTTTCATTTGTGTCCTGCACATGTCTTGATCTTAAACCCTACTCTTTTGGGGGTCTAAGAAGCAAACTTTGGTGATCCAGGTAGTGAGCATTTGAGTTTGACTTCTACAGCACAAAAAAGTATTATTTCTGCAGTCTCTTCTCACAGATCATGGGGTTGAATTCATTACCCCTACTATCCTAATCTGAGCATGTGTTACTGGCCCATAATCCCATTCTTCATGCTAAAAGAAAGCATGTCGAGTTGACCTGTTATTCATAAGGGAGGTGCATAACCACAGCCTTCATGTCTGTTATGTTTCTCCTCTAGATAAATGTCTTGGTGCATGGGTTTTAGGCGTAGGTTTACAGAAACCCAAAACCAAAAAAAAAAAAAAGAAGAAACTTGATCCACTTAAAGTTAGCAGACAGAAGCCGATCGACTAATTTGTAAAACTCTTTTTGATTCCACTATTTTAACCCTTGACAACTATTTGTCTATATTAGGAAATAATAGACAATTGGATTTTATTTTCTTGAAGATTGAAAAATTAATTAAATTATTTTGATTTGATCTGATTTGAAATAATTGAAAAACACAGGTACACACTGGAAGGGGTTGAATAGTTGTATTAGATGAACAATGAATACTTTTTATATAAGTTTGCAAACTCAAATGTTTGTTTATCTGGAAAATGATCTGAATGCGGTGAACAGGCAAAAATGTTGTTCAAAGGTTTTTCACAAAAGGCTTTTTGAAAACTATTTCTAAAAATAGTAAACAAACAAGCCCTAAATTTCTTCTTTTCCATACAGTTTTTATCTCAAATTAATTCTGTACTTTTGTAGTGTCATATTACTGATTTAATGCTTTAACTTTTTAGGCATGCTCATCCCGGAAATCCCTATGTATATGGACTTGCTGCAGTTGATCATGATCTTAACTTTCCTGAGCCAATGCCTGTAGTAGGTATCAATGTTTTCTTTCTCTTTCCTATATTTACGAATTAGAATATTGGTGACCATTACTAAACTTATCATTTTTTTTGTAGAACTTCCTTTCATAGTACATATTTTTGTATACAATATAACATTGTAGGTATGAAATTTTTAGGATTAGCGCATACTTTATAGTATATATGTAAATTCTATTTGATTACATGTCCATGCCATTGTGAAGGTGGTGGGAACTAGTATGAGAGAAAAGTGAGTTAAAATCAATAAAAAATTACTTCTAAGATCAGATTTGCACCTCATTTATATACTTATTTTAGCGACATTACTAGTTAATTTGAGACTAAACTAGTATGCTTGAGGCTGCAACTAAGGCAGCTCTGAAAGTGGCTATAACTAAGATGTATTACGGTTTACTGCAAATATGACAACTTTCCAATGACCAATAGTCACTAATGTTGGCAGTGGCAGTTGTTTCAATAATGTTATTGCATCACTATAAAGGTTGTAATCTTCACCAGGTTGGCACTACAACCTGGATCAATCATATGCAACATTCTTGATGCAGTTAAAAGAAAAAAAAGAAATACAACAGTGGGGGGACCAAACCAAAACCTACTTAGAGAATCTAAAATGTGGGAGACCACAGCTATCTCTGCAAGAATTAGAGATAATACAAGGAGGCTCTCCATTCCATCAATTTTTGCACTCCTAAATTTTGATAATTGGCAATTCTCCATTAACAGTTAACACTACATCTTTTTATTGCATTGAAATGACAAGTTTGAACTGTTTCTTTTCATTGTAGGAATATCTCATTCTGCGAGGGGCTATTGCATGAACATGGTGCTAGAGACTATGAAAACGTATTCTTCTGAAGATTGCTTGACAGAAGAGGCAATTGTTACAAAGCTTCGTACTTGTCAATATCATCACTTATTTTTGCATACATCTTTGAAGCAGGATTCTTGTGGTTTGTAGTTTCTCATTCTTCACTATTTGTTTTATGAAAAAAATTGGGTCAAATTTTGGTGCGCAAGGTGGCTTTATATGAAGCACATGTCAAAAATCACATGTTAGATTTGATATTCCTTTTTTGTAATAATATTTATTTGTTATACATAAAAATAAAAAATGTGACCTTTGTTATCATTGTGAGAGGTGCCAACTAAAAAATTACTAGTGTGTGCAACAAAATAACATTGAAGATTGTTGGAGGTATGTTGTGAGCGGGAGATGATTCTGCAAGAACAAACCATGCAGAAGAATTGGTAGGGGTATAGTTAATGCCACATTAACTGTTTTGGGGGGTCAATCATGTAGTGCATAACAATGATCAATCATGTGATGAAGTTTGTGGCAATGGTCACACTTAAATCGAGATCTACTATCATCATTAATTTTGTGAGGGCAACCATGATCACCTCCTTGTGAGATCAAGATTAATGAGTCAAAAAAGGTAGATGACATAGTGGTGAGGTTGATTGCCGAGTCTGTGGGGTTGCTTAAGTAGGAATGTGAAGAAAGTGGACCAAATAGCAGCCATAGTGGGGACTGAAGAAGATCCTAAAATCTGATCTCGATCTTGAGAGTACTCTACATGTAAGCCATACAAAACTAGTAACATAAAATAGGTTTGATGATTCTCCAATTCCATAAAGTTATAAAGAAGACCACTTACATGATCCAAATAGGTCGACATGGTTCTATCAAGTGTTTATGCATTTAAATATTGTTTTGCTAGGAACTTGCCAATGGGGAGAATTCGGTGAGGGAGGTCTCTTATGGGGAGAATGTAGTTCTAGGCATTTTGAATGGTTTGATGGCAACCATCTATATGATCTCTTGGTCAAGGTATGATTTAAAAAAAATTATATATTCATTTTATATTCTTATTTTAAATGTATTGTACATAAATATGAGTAATTTAAAATTAAATGTTTATTTCATTTTGGAACATAGGTAAAGGAGCTTTATGGTCTTGATGATGAGGTTACTTTTCGAAATACAACCGTATCTTCGGGAAATAGGGCTCGACCATTAACCCTTGGAACTTCAACTCAAATTGGTTTGTATATTAATATTAATATTGATGAATGGTCAATGGTCCACTTGTTATTTTCTATTTTATAAGTCAACGTCTTCTGCATGCATTTTTAGGTGCCATTCCAATGGAAGGAATACCTTCTTTGTTAAAGGTTCTGCTTCCACCAAGTTGCAATGGATTACCTGTGTTGTGAGTAATGATTCTTTTCTCTTTTTGACTACATTATGGTTAAAATTATTCCATGATAATATTTTGATCAACCTGCCCTTAACCTTTTCATGTTAATAAATTTACCCTTTTCATTTTAATAGCTCTACTGTTTTCATTTTTCATAATTTGGTGGTTTAGCTAAAAACAAGCTCTTTGCTTTCTAATTATTAGTTCTTCATATGGAAACCACTAGAATTTTCGTTTTTCCTATAGATGATGCTTTATGCAAGATTGTTTGTTGGCTTGTGTTAGAATTCTTTAAATATGTTAGAATCCTATAGATATGACACTAGGATCAATTAATGATATTAGGATGAATTAGACTAGTTCTGTATTTATGTTATTATCCTACAATAGGGAAACTGATATTCTGTAATTACGCTCTCTTTTGTCTAAATGGAATATCTCCATTGTGGTCTAAACATGTGCAATTCATCATATGTCTTCTCAGTTTCTCTCTTCTTAACATGGTACAAGAGCCTGGTGAGAAAGAAACCTTGATCTGTGCTTTTCTTGAGGATTTATTGCTCATAGGTATAAATTCTTTGGAAACTGTGAGAAATCAAATAGTATTTTAGGAAAGAATAAATAAGGAAATTTGTATATTTCCTTGTAATCTGTACAGATTTGAATAATTAGGAACAATCCCATAAATCAAGGGATCCTAGCATAAAATAGAGTTATTATATTTCCTAAAATAGTTTAGGTCTCTTGTATATATCTTATATCATCTCTTTGTATTGAAATAATAAAATAAATCATATTTCGGTTATTCTATTTTTCCGAGATGGTATCGAGCTTCCGATCTAGGAAGCTCTGTCTGCGCTCGATAAACCCTAAGACGGCGACCTGCATTGCTGCTTGCATATTTTGTAACCCTAAGACGGCAACCTGCATTGCTGCTTGCATTTTTCTTAACCCTAAGACGGCAGACTACATTGCTCGCTGCATTTTTCTTAATCCTAAGACGACGACCTGCATTCTTCTCTGCATTTTTCATAATCCTAAGACGACGACCTGCATTGTTGTTGCATCGCACCTTTTGCTATAATGTCAAGGGAAGAGGAGATAGAAAGGGTGAAAACCATTCTTAGTAAGTCTGGAAAAACCTACAGGTATGTGTTCTTTGGCATACTCGGGTAAGTTTCCACCTTCTTTTGGATTAAATGTCTCGAGATACGCCTTTTAACCATTATTGGATATTGGACTGCGGAGCCACGAGATCACATGACACCATTAGCCAAACACTTCTCCACATATTCCCCATGTCCCAGCAACAAGAAAATTGCCACAGCGAGATGGAACCCTTATAATTGCAGTTGGTCAAGGAAATATCCAAATCAATCCTTTAATATCCTTAAAAGACGTTCTCCATGTCCCAAAGTTGTCCACGAACCTAGTGTCTATACAAAAACTTATAAAGGATTTGTCATGTAAAGTTGTTTTTTCCAATGATCATTGTGTATTTCGGGATAAGGATTCGGGGAGGATGATTGGACATGCTAGAGAATGGAATGGCCTTTATTATCTCGAAGATCCAAGTCTACGCCGAGCAAGAATAGAATCTCTCACTCCTTCATATCTGAATCCTTGATGACCAACGAGAGAAAAAATCATGCTTTATCATTGTCGGTTGGGACATCCCTCTTTTGGAGTGATCAAAATTATATTTCCCTCTCTGTTTACCAAGTTAGATGTTGAGAGTCTTCATTGTGAGGTGTGTGAACTTGCTAAGCACAAACGTATATCTTTTCCAATAAGTAATAGAATTAGCAATTTCCCTTTTTATCTTGTTCTTACTCGATGTATGGGGACCTTCTAATATTCCAAATGTGTCCGGTACTCGATGGTTTGTCACCTTTATAGATGAGCTGTACAAGGGTCACTTGGGTTTTCCTACTTAAACAAAAATCGGAAGTCGGTTACGTCTTCCTAAACTTCCACTCCATGATAAAAAATCAGTTTGGTGTTAATATTAAGAGGCTTAGGTCGGATAATGCCAAAGATTACTTCAATCATGTCCTTAATTCTTTTTGTCAAAAAGAAGGTATAATTCATGAGTCCTCTTGTGTCAAAATACCACAACAGAATGGGGTCGCAGAGAGGAAAAATGGACATCTATTAAATCAGACTCGGGCATTGTTGTTCCAAAAAAGTGTCCCAAAAAATTTCTGGGGGGAAGCTGTCCTTAAAGCAACATACCTTATCAATAGACTACCCTCTAGAGTCTTAGGATCATAAAGCCCTATGGTAAGGTGACTAACTCCCAAGTGTTGTTTTTCTCCAATGCCTCCATCTCTTTATCCATGGCTTGCCTCCATTTTCTGTCAGACAATGCCTCAGATAGGGTATTAGGTAGAAGTACAGTGTTTAGGTTTACTAGGAAGATTTTATGGGTAGGAGAGAAATTTTTAAAGGACAGGTAATTTGAGAGAGGGTAGAGTGGCTGTTTGGTGCATTTTCTTGTTCCTTTTCTAATGGCAATTGGGAGGTCAGGATCATTTTGGGTTTCAATTTCAACCTGCACAGCTGGAGAAAAAATTGTTACCTCTTTTTGTGGAGTCGAGTTGGATTCTTGAACATGGCTTGATCCTGGAATGGCCTTAGTCTTCCTTGAGTACACCAGTTTCTTACCAAATTTTCCAGTTTCAACATCTTCTTGATCAGCTTCACAATTAATTTCACTTTCTTGACCAACTTCCTTTGCCTGACCAATTCCTTGACTTGTTTCATTTGTTACAACTTCAATTTGATCTTCAATTTGATCTTGTTTAGGTTCAAATATCAAGTCTGGAAGAATGGGAAAACCAGAATTACTACTTTCAATATGACTTCGTTTAGGTTCAAATGTCAAGTCTGGAAGAATGGGAAAACCAGAATCAATTGGCAATATGTGGAGTAGCCTAACATGTATTTAAACCATACCAAATGATATGAGGTAGGCGATGTGGGACTTTCAACAGAAACCATGTATGTTTTCTGATTTCTGTAGCCAGACCCAGCTTGGAAACAGAGTATTGAGCTATGTTGTAGTGAGTCACGAGCTTATATGGCTCAAAAATTGTTTCAGGAACTAATGTTTGGGGAGGTTACACAAGTATCTCTTATATGTGATGTTTAGGCCACCATGCATATTGCCTTGAACCTTTTAGTCCATGAAAGGGAGAAACTTGTTTAGGTTGTTTTTCATTTTGTTAGAGAGAAAGCCATGCGCCGAGAAAATAACTTTGTCAGTCTTTATGATCAACTTGGATATACATTTACTAAATGAGTAAGGAGTCTTCAAATGAACTATATGTAACAAATGTGGTGTATATGACTTATATGCTCCAGCTTGAAGCAAAGTGTTAGAATCCTTTATATATGTTAGAACTTATTGATATGATACTAGGATCAGTTGATGATATTATAACTAATTAGATTGATTTTATGTTTATGTTATTAGCCTAAAATAGGGAAACTAAATATTATATAATTATGTTCTCTTCTCTATAAATTGAATAGTTCCTTTGTGGTCTAAACACACAAAAATCATCATATGCCTTATCGGTTTCTCTCTTCTCAACAGTTTGCTTTTCATCTAGTTTGAAGCCAAAAGTTTCTATATTTTGCTTAACTCCAGAAAGAAGCATAGTAAAGGAAAAAAGTTTAAAGGGGTTTATGGAAGGATGGAGTTAGCCTTGTTAAGTTATAGCATGTGGGTATATTGTCTCTATATGTTGGTTAATTGTTAATTTTGTTTAAATTTTGTTGTTTTGACCATTTAATTGTGTAATTCGTTGTCTCAAATATACTAAACTTTCCATTTAAATTGTTTATTTCTCCTAAATTTTTTCCTTTTGTTTTATTTTTAATAATTAAATTTAGATCAAAGTGGTATTATAGCATTTAATTCTAGAGTCCGGATTAGATGCCTAATTTATGTCATTGTGCTTGATAGGTATATAAGGAATCTTCTTTTGAATCCTCCTTCTTATGAGATTGCATCCAAAATTCAAGGTGACTTTTAATACTTGGTATTTTTTATGTGCCTTTCTCATAGAGAAGTTTGGTATTTTATTAATTGAATCTTATATGAGTGAGATGAAGCTATTTATAATGCAGTAGACTTGCACTGCTGGTTACTGAGTTCTAAGTAACTTCTGATGCCACAGGTAACAAACTAACAAAAACTCTAAGATATAAGTAATTGTACAATAGAATTACTATTTTACTCTAACCTTCCACCTTCAAACTCAGGGTGGTTTCAACTGAAAGTTGTTGACAACTTAGTGTTTTCCCCTTAGAAAACAAAATGTAAGTTTGGAGAGGGGCTGTGTGATCACATCATCTATTTGAACATGAGCAAGAACATGGCTCACAACACAATGAAGGATTTGTATATGACTTTATCTCAAACAAAGATGTGTAACTCCTTGTACCCTTTATTTAATTTAGTTAGGGATTAGACCTTTGTTTGTTCATAAGACTTGTTTGTTATAAGGGTGATAAGGAGAGGGTTTGATCACTCCTTTCACACCCCCATCTCTCCTATACATAAATTGGTCCTTTGTGAACTTAGGCACAAGTTTTAGACTGTATGCATGAGGGTGTTTTATTTGAGTGACTTGTGTGAATAGTGTGATTGGTCTTGTTTGGAGATTTCTTATCCTGAGTTAGACTTAAGGGACGATCCTCCATCCTTTATTTATGATACAAGCAAATAGAGGGACAAATTAGAAAGACCCAAAATGTGTATGTGAGGAAGAAGTGGAAACCCATTGCATGGGGTCCACAGGCACACACACTATGATTTTGTTTCTAACATAATCGCTTACATAGAGAAAAATAGGCGATGATGGTATAGGGGAGAGAGAGAGAGAGAGAGGGGGGGGGAGAAAAAGGGAGGTAGGACTATCCGGGGTTGGCTCTATTTGGGGGAAAAGGAATGATTTTCCTCTTTGTTTTCGAATACGGAAATAACACGAGGTATTTTCATCTCTT